CCTAATACTCACAGAAACAGCTCCGGTATGACATCCCAAAAATGACGCTTATCTGCTTCACCTCACGCGCCTCGGCTTCAGCGAAGACTTGTTTGTTTGTTTGTAGCCTCTAATCCATGGCTCGTACCCACTCTGGGGGATTGGCCAAGGAAACATATAGTCTCATACGGATGATAACTGCATTATTGTTTACAACAAAAAAAAGGGGAGGGGGGAGTTGTATAGAGAAGACAGTATGTTAAAAAAAAAAGAAAGAAACCAAAGATTTAGATAGTGAGAAGAAAGAATCAACAAGAAAGAAGACACTAATAGCTATAACTTGATTTTGGGACACGACCAGACAGCTGGTTTTGCCAAATACGATTAATTTGGTATGTCACAGATTTATCCAGACTTGAAAAATTACTTTTCGACGCGTTTTTTTTTAGTACCTGTTAACGTGGGCTTTATGTTGAAAAACGTTTAGAATCCTGAATGAAGTTACACACCGCATCGAATGCATCTCTGGGGCAATTTTCCGAAACAGAGGCACCAAAACTTAGAACATTTTCTGTGGTTAAATTTAAACCTAGCTTCGCAAATGGAATATCTAAAAGTTGTTTCCTAATTAATGCATAGTTACGACATGAGCCAAAATAATTTTCAATAGTTTCTCATTCTTCGCAAAACGGACAAAGGGGGGAAAGTGTCAGATCAGCTCTGTATAAATAAAAATTTAATGGGGGGACACGGCACCGGAATCTGGAGATTATAAATTCAAGTTTTTTCGACGGACTCCACTGGGCTTTCCATGGAAATTTGAGGTGCTGATGATCTGTCCATTGTGTGATATTTTTTAAACTATCTGTAAAAATAGCAAATTTCCTATATCTAACTCCTTATAAGTATTCTAACTCGGGAAGTACTGAAACTACTGGTCCACCGAGTGACGCTCGTGCCAGAGCATCTGCCAATTAATTTAATTGTAATTCGCAGTGACCTGGGACCCACACTAATTTGAGGAGCTCTAAATGCGGCGGTGCTAATGTGTGGAACGCTGCTAGGGCACGAGATTGTTCGAAGGTTGTCAGAGCTGCACACACCGAAAGTGAGTCTGCAGTGTTAGGATGATTGCACTGGTCTCGGTCGTAGGAATTTTACGAAGAGCTAAAATAATAGCTACTAGCTCAGCTTCAAATATAGGAGTGAAACCTGGAAGCCTTACTGAAAAAGACCAGTCGAGGAAATCAGATACAATTCCTACGCCTGCCTTTTCATTGTTGACAGAAGCATCTGTAACTATGACATTTTTTGTTTCTGCATATACCAAGTAATCATTTAATGTAGTGGTCAAAAATCTAAGAGATTGCAACTTGGCTTGTGGGGGGAAGATTCCATCGTACTCTATTCTAATGTTGAGAGTTGAAGAATTAGTTTCAATTACTGCGCTAATGTCTACCTTTATGCAATCGAGTTTCTTTTTAACGAAAATTATCTGAGGGTATGAAATCGAGGCCAATGTGCAAGAAAGAAAGAGTCAGGGTCGCTGATAAATGCGTACTCTGATCTTCGCGCCGGTAAACTGTAAAACTTTAAGAAGGTTTGAACTGTTAGAATGCGGAATCGACAAAGGAGTGTTGGCACTCGCGCTTCTTGGTACAATACATCATTCGCCACGAACCTGGAAAGTCCCAGGCATATTCGCAGGGCTTCTCGCTCTAACATTACTAGCGGTTTAACTTTATAACCAGCGGCCCCCGAGAATAATACACACCCAAATTCCAATATTGGTCGCACATACATTTTATATATCATTAACATCGTGTGTCTGCGCAGCCCGTATTTTCTGTTGCTTGACCTGCGTAATAAACCTAACGCCCGTTGTGCCTTTGCTGTTATATATTCAATGTGTGGGCTCCAATTTAGCTTTTCATTATAAATCATTCCCAAGTACTTGACTGAATCTACTTGTGGAATAGGTTCCCAATTATACAATACAGAAATTAAAACTGTATCTGCTATAGGAAACACAAGCGCACTTTTACTGATGTTCAATGACAATGAAATGGATTGCAACCAAATTTCTAGTGTAATAATATATCTTTGCAGTTTTTGATGTAGTGAGTAAATGTCGCTCTCTGCAGCGAAGAACAAGATATCATCTGCATAGATGTAGACACTAACATCCTGAACAATTGGAATAGAGCTCATCAGTATATTGAATAATGCTGGAGATAGGACGGACCCTTGCGCAACACCATGTTTCTGTTTGAATTTATGCGAACAACAGCCATCCTTCACGCAATACAATTCCCTTGATTTTAGGAATTCTGCTATCCACTCAGTAATGTACTGAGGAAACTTTAGACTCTGCAAGGTGGTCAGTAGAATAGAGTGCTCCAGTCATACGGTATCCAGGCATTCTTTAAAGAGTAGTTTATAAGATTGAGGACGTCGCCGGGGGATAGCTTAAATAAAATTTTAATCAAAGGAACTGTGATTCCATCTGGACCAGGAGCTGACAATGATAGATCTCGAATTACTTTTGATGCTTCAGACAGCGTTACGTTTTCGAAGTCAGTGCTTATGCTAGACTTTTGCCAGTTGAAAGCCATAATCGAAGAAAATCTAATTTCTAGACCTCTGCCAATTGACTCTAAAAAGTTCGTTTCTTCCAATGATAGTTTTTCATAATCAGTATTTACTGTAAACGGCAGGATTTTGCGAGATCGCATATATTGAAATAAAGCTTTCTTATTGTTAGGGTTCGAGAGAAAATTGAAATGTCCTTTATTATATTCTTCTTTAGCTTGGGCCACCGTGTGTTTAAATACAGCGGCAAGAAATTTATAATGTGACCAGTTCTTAGGGGACTGATTATGTATTAGCTTCTTCCAAGCTGCCTGTCTTCGTCTGTGACCTCGTGAGCAGCTGGAATTCCACCAGGGGCTATAGAGTACTCTCTTCGCCGATTTAACAGCAAATTCAGTGTTTTTGTATGCCCTTTTAATTACTGCGCTTCATTTCATAGCTTTAGTGTCATCTCCATCTTGAGAGGGAGTGTCTAAAGCAGTTTTTAGGTCGTGTTGAAATTTTGTATAAATTATATAGGTCCGGACATAGAAGCATGAAGGTTTGACGGGGCAAGCGATTTCGAACATATTGGAAAGTGGTCACTGTTGGAGGCGCAATCAAGGGCTGTCCACGATGTACTAGCGATGGCCGAACTTACAAAGCTTAAATCTAAGGCGTAGCGTGAATGACCTCGAATAAATGTGGGCGTTCTAGTGTTAAGGCACAATAAGTTGTTGTCTACCGACCAGTCCCACCACCGTTGTCCACACTGATCTGTTCTAAAACCCCAGCAGGTATGGTGAGAGTTGAAGTCGCCAACTATAATTTTTTCTTTACAGCATGAATTAGCAGCCATATCTAACAATCTTGTGTCATGAACGCCTACAGGAAAGTAGACGTTTATTAGCGAAAAAGGCAAGTATCCTGGCAAGGAAATATCTAACGCGAAAATTTCGCATTCAGAAGACATACATTTGTACGAGTTTTTTACTTTTAAACTAATTTTATTGTTTATAAAGAAAGCTAAACCTCCACCTTTGGATGGACGGTCTAGACCAAAGGTTTGGAAGTTGGGTAGGTGAAATAAATGATGTTTGGAAAGCCAAGTTTCTTGTAATGCAATAATAGCCAGATCGAGTTTGGAAGACAGGTATAACAGATCTGTTATGGCTGAGTGAAGAGATCGGCAATTCCAATGTATAATTTTAAGAGACCCTATGATTTCGTTGAAATGGTTTCAGCAACTACCTTGTCTAAAATACTTTCCTTTAGAAAATCGGTTTTTGAAAGGTTGTCTTTCTGGTATTTCTTGCTTTTTACATGTTTCAGAGAGCCAGGTTTTTTCGATACAGGAGATCTAGAACGCTTTAGGCATTTGAGATCTATGTCCATATCTTTCGGTCGCGTTTCTTCTTCTTTGTGGCTGTTACCTCCCCGAACGTGCTGCAATATTGGTGTCAATTGCAGTGGGGATCATTCGAGAACTATGCCCGCAAGAATGAGCAGTGTTAGTTACGTTTCCGAAATGCTAGGGGAAAAATTAGGCGGTGGTGTCAATTGACACCGCCAGGGCCGGAAGGGTTAAAACCGGTTTGGTTTTTAAAAGAAGACCCTATGCAGTGGTCATGTCTAGGAAGAAGTCGCATTAACAGATGTAGCTGAAGGAATAAGAAAAATCCAACAACACTTATTTTAGGAAAACCAGACATTCCAAAGCCAGTCTGGGCCTTATGTACGGTCGCTTGCCATGTGCGAGAGGCAAGCCCTGGCATTGCAAGGAAGGCAATGAACCCGTGGAGCAGTTGACGTTCCCCACTGCTTGCTGAATGTGCCAAGATTTGAGGAGGAGACGCTAGCGAGGGTTACTTTCTTTTTTCAGAACCACCCTGTTGTCAGGGCGTCAAACTACTTGCAGCGTTTTGCTACTGCGCTTCGTTCGTTGTTCTATTGATAGAGGTCATTACTACAGAAGCATACAATCCTAGCAGATGTCAAGACAGGTGAACTGACGTGTAATGAGTGGGTTGTTGAACGCTGCCAATCCCTAGGAATGGCCGAGCTTATAAGCCACGACTATCATCGGCCACAGCATCAAAAAAACACGCTGGTCTTGAAGATGCGATGTATGGCACAAAACTATCGCACGGCCACTCAAGCTCTAATACTGATTATGCTGGCTTTTAGTGCTAAACAGTAGGGTGAAAAAAGAACACAGATAACGGCGCTGTGGTCTGCACTCTTTCTTTGTCCTGTTGAGCACTTTCTTCTGCTAAAAAAAAATGCATGTTTTTTTTTTTCCTTGAATGTAATAGACAGTAGTTAATTTCTTGCTCCACATATGTATCGAGGTTCATGGTGCCACGACTGAAGGCTGGCTGGAATCATTGCAACTGGTGCCGCCAACCTATAAAAGCGTGCGAGCGGGAACTGAGAAAACAGAAGACCTGTTTTGGACAAGCTTCATCTCAGTTTTATTACATCACAGCTTGCCACCACTTTTTCTTCTTTATATTTCTCACGCTTTGTTCTCCTCGGAGCAAGCAAAACTATGTACATCGACAGTGTTGCACACGAAAAAAAAAGAAAAAGACACATTGAATGGTGGCTGCAAGTACGGACTCCATGGTAGAGCTAACGCTGACCGAAGAGGGCATCCAAGAAGTGGGTGAAGAGGAATTCAGAAAGAGCGACAAATACAGTACACACACACACATACGTACATAGGTCACTATCAGCAATGGCACAGTCTCTCTCTTTCTCGAACCAAACAAAACACTCATCTTCAGTCATCCATAATACAGACTTCAAAAAGAAGTTTTCACATCTCTAAAAACACACACTCCGAAAAAGAAAGAATGAAAGAAAAAAACGTGAAAGGCTATCACGACAACACTGACCACGACAGAGGGAATAATGATCTTTCGTCTCGCAAGATTTAAAAAAAAAAGAAAAAAGAGCGGAAGCCCCGGGCAGTTCGTTTCAGCAAAAGTGGTTCCGTCTGTCATCCTTTCAGATCTAGAAACTCCCGACGACCACGATACATAAATCCCCAACGAATACAACATTTTTTTAACTAAAAAAATGTCGTATACTTTTTTTTTTTCAAACGCGTTGGCTTCTGCCAGCCTACAAAAGCCCTGTGGAGGAACCAGGGCACAAATAATAATCAACTGACGGCTGTAAACTTCCCAAGACAGCGCACAGGCTGCCACAAAAACGCAATTTCAGAAACCGGTGATGGGTTACCATACGAGTGAGCACCATCGACCACACACCCCGCCATGAGCAGAACGTAGCCTGTTACGCTAGTCTCACTTTGCAAATCTAGATCAGAGGGTGCAGCCTCTTCCAAAAGTACACGAACCACTGTAGCTTCTCTGTGCTCTTTTAAGCTCTTCAGTTCCGACTGATGCTAAACTATTACAAGGACCCCAAGAAACGACCGTGACCGCAAGACCGTGAACACAGATGCTGTTTGGCTTGTGTACTTCCGATAAAGTCCGCACATTGTAGTTGGGGCAGCGGCGTAAAAGGGACAAGGGGACTGTACAGTATCACGGAATACTATTTCGAATCAGTCCTCCCCGATCGACCACCTTAAAATACGTCGGGGACCCCAGCACTGCAAGGCCGGTAGAGCAAAGCCAGACTATTCTGTGCGGAACAGCACTCCGTGGTACGGTATAAGCCCAAAAATTGTTTTGCACACCGGGTGACACACATGGACATAGGAGACGCACGTGAATCGTACGACTAATAAAAACTTCTATGTAGACAACACGGCTTCCACCGTAGCTGAGATATCAAAGTTTCAAAAAATGTTCCACTATTTGCGTCAACAGAGGCAAGGACTTTTGGCACCATTCCACTCTTGCAACATTTTTCTTCTGCAAAGGCTCAATCTTAACCGTATTCCCAAAGATGGTGGATTGAACCACACATTTACTGTGAAGGTACTACACTGAAATCCACGAGAGGTGCCCTAAGTGAACTTTGCAGGGTTACATACTTTGAAAAGACATGGCATTGATTCTACATGCATTTACTTGCATTGACAACAACAACAAAAAAAATTTATAAGCTGCAACAAATTCATTGAAAAAAAAAAATAGCAGCACAGCTATGCACTTTGTCAATACATGCACAAACAGCAAAAAGTGACACTGAATAAAAAATACCGCACTGCCTATGCTGACAAAACATAACAAAATGCTGTATACCTCAATTCTATACATTGCGATTGCAATGTTAGAAAATGCAGTCGCAATTAGCTTGCAGGACACCCGCTTAGTAATTTATTAAAACGTTTGATGGAGGTTGCCAAAAAGAGAAGTTCATTGATGTGTCAACACAGCTTCACACCACCACTGCTTCGGAGGCGACTTTCTAACAAATCATAACTAAAGTAAAAACAATCTATGTATATATATATATATGCATGCTTTTGAAGTACACATGAACATAAGGAAGACATGAAACTTTCTGCACATTGAAAAAAAAAAAAAAAGACCTGTGCTAACGCACTGCCCCACAAGACCGCCGTCCGTCGCTCACAACGTTCAACGATCACAGTAGTTAACAAAAACAACCTACCTAAAAAATCTGCACAGTAATATTTACAGGGCACTGAAGGAGTATTCTACCCAGCCGCGCCACCCAAAAAGAACCGCCCTAAGAAAACAAAATCTAGGCTCGTCTCACACATGCACCGCCGGTACTATTTCGATTCGTGGACGTGCTCCGTAAAGCTCACGCGACAACCGACACTCAAGTAACGCAGAAAAACTAACACAATTGCAACGACGCACTCTCACAACGACACAACATTTGGTGGACTTTTCCACTCGCACGGATCAGGCTGCTAGTCTCGCACGTTGACACAAAAATCAGGGTTCGTTTTTGTTTTTTCAACTGCCCACGTTTTACACAAGGCGGCCAAGAAGAAATTCTGCGGGACATAGATATTTGCGACAGAGTCAGTGAAATGAAACGTGTGCCGTTCTCACTGGCTGTGCATCGATTCAATCATTTAGAAGCGGTGCGCTTTTAAAAAGGTACAGTTTCGCGAGCGTTGTAGTGAGCACGTCCCACGGACTTAATTAGTGGCCAGCCATGCAGTGCAGTACAGCCTTCTAAAAAGAAATGCCTAATTAGCATTTAAAACATTTTCAGCACATACAACATCCACAGTGTAGCTTCGTAATTAATTTTCATGCCCAAATAAGCTTACCGAGCTGCTGAACAAATTCAGTGGTGTTGCGACACCATCGAATTTCATTAGAAAAGCACACAGATGTTTCCTTTAGAAGTGTACCATGCTGCACTTTCGCTACCAATTACACAAAGAGAGAAACCATTTCGGAAGCACCACCATATAAAGGGAGCAAAGAAGAAGAATAGAACGAGTCTGAGCAGATTACGAACAATGGCCTTGTTAAGGGGCAACCGCGCAATGCCACCCCGGTGACACCCCACGATAACCAAACTAGAATCACGGAAGGGGTCTCCGATAGGAGGCTTTTGCCGAGCCGAGCCCCAGAAATGGTCTCAGAAATGGTAGTGGTGCCCGCGCCTTTGTAAACCAGGCTCTGGAAAACTGCTCGGAGCAAAAATGCATGTCCAGGGAGGGGCCTCGCTGCCCTTCGTGTGTCTAAGATCTCCCGCCAAAAGGGTACGTTTTTTCGTTCTGGCGATGACAGCTTAGGAGGGTCGTGCACTTGGTTTCTGCAAAAGAAAAAAAGCAATTGGCTTTCAACGACATGGGTGTTTAGAAGTACTCGTTGCACGGCTATTTGGCACATCACCGAGGAAAAATTATAGACATCTAAAACACAACAAGAAGAACGAAGAAACACAGGTCTGTGACGCTCTTTTTCTGTGCTGCTTCATTCTTGTGGTATTTTAGGCGTGAATTATTTTCGCTCACAGACACGGGTGTTGTTGAAGGCCTGGTTTACTATGTGGTTTTAAGGTTATTCTAGCAATGCTGGTTTACTGTACAGAAAGTTCGGTTAACTGGCGCTGCTATCCACAATAATTTCAGTTCGTCCGCACAAACTTCCTTGTGTGAGCATTTCAACATATCATGGAAGCACACACTTCAGCAGCCGGGACAGATGGCACTACCTAGCGGCAAAGTGCGTATGAGCCCATAGAGAATTTTGCACGTAACAAACAAATGAATGGCTGAGCTACCAACCCTCCAATTTGCAAGTGGGTGCAAGATCATAATGTAGTAAGTTTATAATTGCAAATTTTGTTGAAGCGCACTAAAAAACAGATGGACAGAAGAAGCTGACAAGGACAGTGCTTGCTCTCGCAACTGAAGGTTTATTAGTCAGAAAAGCTTTCTGACTAATAAACCTTCAGTTGCGAGAGCAAGCACTGTCCTTGTCAGCTTCTTCTGTCCATCTGTTTTTTAGTGCGCTTCAACAAAATTTTCAATTATGAACGTAATCCAACTGGCTAAACATGCCATCTTGCTGTAGTAAGTTTCTTGTGAAATGAGCAAACGGGAGTATTATACATACAAACCTTGTGTTTGGGGCACAGAATGGAGAAGTTCTCCGTGTCCAACTGACAACCTGTTTGGAAAAGCAAAAGAAAAGAAAAGGGAGGGTTTGAAGTGAGAAAGGCAGAAATCAGCATCAATTCAGGTTTTCAGGACAGCTATTCTAAATGTGTCCATTTAGACCGTCGCTGATCAGCCAGAGCTTGATGAGCAACATACCATTTCTACTTCTTCTACAATATCATTAATATGTCACGGAGTTCGCACGAATTTCAACACAAGAGAGAGGAACGAAACGCACTTCACAGTAGCGAACACAGCCTCCACTTTTAGCTGCATGCATCTCGGAGGTGGGGCACTAGCTCCCGTATCTGTAACCTCATTGGCTCTCGAAGTTACGTTCAAAGTGGCCTCCCATTAAACGCACCTGTGACGGTTATTACACGTTCCCTGCACCATTTGGAAGAATCCGAGACTGACTCATATGCGAGAACAGACTTGCAAATTTCAAGTGGCCTGTGACTGCGCGTTGTACATTTTTTTTCAGTTAGGGGAGGGTGCTGTGCAGGTTTGCAGCATCGACGTACATGAGTGCAATGACATGTACATCTAGCCGCTTTCTCCAGTAACTGAATGTGCTCTGCCGAAATGAACATGTACAGAAGTTAGGGCGGTTCGAGAATAGCTCCCTTAATTAGGTAGGAAATAATCTAAAAAGAAACTAGTCCTGCATCTGTCACCACCGTGCTTCACAGCCTAGACTTAAAGGGCCACTCACCAGGCCCCATACCAAATTTTAGTTAGACAATGGAAGTTCTTGGGTGTCCGATGAGAAACATTTTGCCACACAAATTTTTTTAATTGGTTCATCACGAGCAGAGGAAACAGGTTTTTTGAAGCGGCGCGAAACGAGGAGGAGAGCTCGAAACCCTTGCCGCTCCTCCGCATAGCCTTCGCAAGCCAAATCTCTTGCCTACCCTCTCCGGGATCTGACCAAGAGGTCATGTGCGCATGACGTACCCGAACAAGTCCATCCCCTGAGCCCGTGAACGGCAATGCTTTGTTGAACACCGTTATTTTGTGGTCTTCCGCCAGTTTCTGCGGGATGGTCAGGAAACGCTGGTTTAGACGCGGTAGAATAGATGAGCACAATGAGTGCGCAAACGCGTAGGAGCGTTCCACGGCAGTCGTCTGATCCATGCGCTGACCGCGGGGACATGAACGCATGTGAAACGCCGACAGATTAACCCCGCATTTCGTTGCAATTTGCGGGAGAAAAATGAAAAAAGACACATTCCCTTATTGCGTCTCATCATTTATCTAGAGCTTGATCGATCTGTTCAAGCAACAAATTACATAAACTACGCATGCTGTGTTAAAATATTTTCGCCATGTCACGTGCCCCTGTTTGCAACGTCAGAGCAGAGTCGTCTACGTAGAGGGCCAACGTCACTGCATTGCCGTGTACGTAGGGCCATTCAGACATGCACGTCATGCCTTCATTCTCTTGGCGCGTGCCGGCAGAAGAAAGAGAGGGAGCAGCGTTCATTTTGAAATTTGACCCATGTCCGCGGCGCGTAGCGTTGCAAATTTTTACAGAAGTGATCATGAACGCCTCGGCTACACATTGCGCTTGTCAGCTCAAAATTTTCAAACCTGGTGAGTGGCCTCTTTAACAGAATAAAAAAAAAAATGAAGGGAAAAAATGTACGCAGCTTGCACAAGTAGTGCAAGGCTGGACTAACAGCCGAGGTTGAGGCAGATCTAGATTATTAGCAATGTCTTAATTACTGTGATGTTAACTGGCAGTCTCTACAAAGAGGTCTCAATTAATACAATATTCATAAGCAAGAACTTAGCAAAACTCCAATTAGCACTGTTCTAATTAATAGATTCTCTACGTTCCTGTATGTTTCTATTTCCTTCTCTCCTTTTTCTTCCCTTCATCTGTTCTTCACTTACTCCTTGCTTTCTTAGAGGGCCCACACATTGAACACGCCTACACTGCTCATCTATTGGGTCAAGCTCAATAGCTGTGCTGGTTGCAAGCCTTATTATCTGCCAAATTACTGGGTGAAACAGAAAAAGGTGCTATACATATCCCGATTTTTCAATGTACATCAGCTAGACAAAATTGTCTTCAGTTATAGTCAATTCTAACATGATGACGAGAGCAGATGCAGGCAACTGCCCGTCAACTTTTGACACCATGACGGGCAGAGCTGCCGCATCAGAGACTCTGCTTATCTCGAAGTGGAAAAGGCCCCGCTTATTTGGCTGAAAAAGGCTTGAAGCGTGAATCTGCCGGATAGCAGACCCCTTTTAATTGAAAAAGCACAAACTTTCATAGATAAGCTGAACTGCCCCGATTTTGCCTGCAGCAACGGCAGGTTATCACGGTTCAAAGCCCACTACAGCGTCGTGGGGAAGGCTGTTTGTGGTGAGGATGCTGCAGTAGACAAAGAAGGCGCTGTATAATGGCAGGATGCCATTTTTTTACAAAGCCTTGACAACCTATGGTGCTGCTGACATATTCAATTTTGATGAGTCGGCACTTTTATATTGCCGGCTTCCAAACAGGACATTGGCATTTAAGAACGAGAAGTGCACCGGTGGGGAACGTGCCCAAAATCCCATATCAATAGCTTTTGGCGTAAATATGACTGGCAGTGAGAAGCTGCTCCTGATGGTCATTGGCAAGTATGGAAACCCGCAGTGCTTGAAAGGCGCTCGGCTGCCATCTGGCATTGTTTACAAGCACATCAAAAAAGCCTGGATGACAGCCCAGCTGTTCGCGGAGTACGTGCGCCAGCTGGACCGCCATTTAGCTGCCGAGAAAAGAAGCATACTGATAGTACTGGACAATGCGTCGGCGCATGTCGATGTGGGTAACCTGTCAGCTATTAAGCTGTCGTTTTTGCCGCCCAAAACGACAGCGCTCGCCCAGCCCCTCGATCAGGGCATCATAAGCTCTCTGTCAAGCAGATTGACCGCAAAAATATGATGCATAGGATGTTGCTTGCCATGGAGAGGGACAAAACGTACAGTATAGACCTCCTAGGTGCTATACAGCTGCTGCGCACTGCTACGATACGGAACTGTTTCACGCGAGCACAATTCAGGATGCCAGAAGAAAGCAACGGCGATAACGAGGATGGTGAGGACATTGAAGAGTGCGAGAGCCTCCTTGTTGAGGTGCTCGAGCGGCAAGGAGGGAGAGCCCAAAAGTTGAACTTCGGCACTTTCCAAGATGTAGACAGAGATGTCGTTGCATCTCCGGACTTTTCCGACAGCGACACTTGCCGCAGCCGCGCCTCATCCTGATTCAAGCGGAAGTAAGGCGGAGAGCAATGTGGAAGTGGACGACGACCCCTCGTTATCCGAAGCTGCGCGTGATGTAACTGTGGTGCGAGCCTTCGCCGAGAAGCGCGGCCGAATGAACCAGCTGGCTCGCGGCCTCACCGACATTAAAGGTGCCAATGTCGCGACAAGGCCACCACGGTGGCAGGTGAAGATCACAGATTTTTTTTGCTGCCTGTCTCTAAATAAAGCTTGCGTGCCTGCGCGAGTGTGCGCACATGTTTGTGATGATTGTGGTGTTCTTTTCTGACCGGTAAGTAGCCGCTAAACTGGCACTGACGGTTAATTCGCACATCACTTATTGCGTACCAAAACGTCGTTCTCGGCCAACTACGTATTAACAAGATTCGACTGTATTAAAAGTAGTATTAAAGTACCCTTTTCGACGGCACAGAGGTAGTGGTATTTTTCGCTGCAGCCCCGGCTGAGACAGCCCAGAGAAGCACCGACGAGCTTGCACTTGCAGCACACCTGCAACGAGGAAGGCAACGACAAATTTAGGGGCGCACTGACAAGAACATTTTCAGTTTTTTGGATCAAATCAAAAGCCAAGCCCTCAAAAGCCCAGAAAATGCACTGGTAAGCATGAGTGGGCCCTGAACAATTGATTAAAACATGTTTTTAGAATTTTGTTTCTGCTCCTATTGTACCCTACAACACAGTAAGGTAGAAATTCTCTGCCACATGCTCACACAAGACACTGTGACATTCACATGGCCACTTTTGCTTCGTGGCACTGTTGTGACTGCGCAGGCAAAAAGTTTTTATGTTGAGGTACCTAATGTCGTCACAACTAGTCGTAACGGCGAATGAAATCACGAGGATTGATACTGTATACTGAAGTTATTGCTGCATGTGTCAGGCATTGACAAAACTCTCTCTTATCTATACAAGATAGGTTTCCATTTTGTAACACTTTCACGTGCGAACATTCCTGGCCGAGAATAAAAAGCATGCATTAGTAACACTTGCACTTATTTTTCAGCAGTTAATACGTACCAAGAAAACCCAATTACTTAGCACAAACCTTCTGTTTATCTGACAATCATTCAAGATGCTTTTTGATCACTATACAGTCGAATCTCGATAATTCGAACTCGAAGGGGCCCGAAGACTTGTTTGAATTGAAACAAGTTCGAATTAATGAAAGCTAAGTAAACGGAAGGCTCCCCATGCAGTGTCGCATGTGCATTGAGCTAACACACGAGGGGGAAGTTTCAGAAGACTTACATTTATTCACAAATCACAGGACATCCGTCATTAATTGAAGTAATCGGTTATGCACATCTGCACACGTTTGCCTTGCAACGAGTCAATCAATTCGGCACGCAGCTTGCAAAGTCTACTGCAGCTTCAGCATTCTCTTGGCAAGAGAAGTTGTGCGCGGCAATATCCAGCGCCGACACTCTCTAAAGACGATAATGACTGCATCTCCGCTACTACCCTCTGTGCCAAAGCCGCAGCGTGGCCAGCATGTGACGAGAGCGGAGGAGTGTCTCTACGCGGAAAGAAGCAGATCGGCATTTGAGAGAGAACCAACACTCCACGGCAGCTTTTTTTTTTCTCTCTCTCTCTTCGTGTGCGATGTTAAAAGAAGAAGGGTTGCGTAGTTAAGTCGGTGATTGTCAGGTCACTAGCACCATTTCATCAGAACAAGTTGTGAGCACACCATGCAACCCAGCACTTCGTGGATGCATGACTGCACGGTCACAAGCGTACATTTAGTTTGGTTAGATGTGGTTTTAGAGTTGACAGGCGGTTATCATCCTACTTCGGAGCCATATGTGCAGCTCTTGCACATTTTTTTGCAGCGCCAGTAATGGTACAGTCATGAGCATGGTTACACGGTAAAAGCTTGTAATTGTTCGAATTAAGGAGAGTTCTCAGGCGGTTGCTAGAATGAACGGACATCACGCCACGCAAAACAGGCAGAGCCCAAAGACCCCAAAACGTGGATGCTAAGCGCTGGCAACTTGAATTTCCTGCACCAAAATGCGCGGCTTCATCTTCATCGATTTTGCACTGTGTTTACTAGTTCACATATAGTTGCTAATTGGCAAAAATGAAGTAAATCATACTTTGAGGGGGCCAAAGGCATAGCGTACCAAGTTTCAGAAAATTTCATTGAGCAAATGTTGTCAAAGCATGAAAAATACCATTCTAAGTTTGCGACACCATGCGTGAGGACTTTGACATTAAATTTAAAACTGAAATTCTAATTTTTCTCCTCTATTAATAAGCTTATGATGGTGAAATTAATGAAATTAGGATTCTCAGAGTACAATTTTTCAACCTATGTAAGTTCATTGTTTCCCTTAGGGGGGCCTTTAAGTTTTCTTCGAAACAAACTTCTCACTCTGACAAACGGTGCCAAAGAGGAGGACTCACCAGATGAGCGGCTTCAGCTACGGCTTCTTGCAACCCGTGCACCCGGTTCCCGCCAAGGTACACACCTTGAGACCATGTTGCACATGCCTCGTGCACCCACAGTTCCTTGCACACCTCTGGTTCTCGCTCAGCTTCACTTAACCTCTGCTGTTTCAAAAAGAAGCATTAAAAAACATTGGTCAACAGTAATCCACTGAAACACTACTCTGCACTTTCATAAAGATCTCACGATCCATTTTACTGTAATTAATTTATAGTATAGTAGTATTTATAGTAAGTACAGTTGTTTATTTCATGCTAGAGTAATTAAATTATAGCACATACTAGAATAGAGCAGGATACAATAAAACATTGTCACATCAGGCACTCAAGGGGCTTGACAAATATCTCTCTTGCCATTAAAAATTCTAAAAACACCGATGATCTATGGCAAAAATCTAACTCGATGCTGCTCATGCAGCATTTAGATTTCCCACTATGCCGATCTCGTCAGGCCGGCCTTACGCTGCCCAGGTCCGAACGGTGCTGTCACCGAGTTACCGACTACCCCCCCCCCCCCCAACAGGGCCACCAGTGCGGTCATTCACCAACCTTGTAATCCTACGTTACCGATCGAGTATTGACCCTTTGAAGCGAAGGCATGATCATCACAATACACCGGCAAGAGGTGAAGCATCAGTGGACTTTTGGCCATTGTCTAGAGAGGAGGACGTGTGAATGGACCCCACCGTCCCAGTTTAATCTGGAGCACCGAAGAGCACCTTGCCCGTTCTTTAAAGTTCAGACCTTAACATGTATATTGTCACGTAGTAGTGAGGGTAGCCCGAAGACGGGAGACCGGGAGGCTCGTAGAAATAGAAGGGAATCAGTTTATTTGGCGGACTTGCGCCCACTAAAGAAAAATATACGCATCGGCTTAGCGGGTGGCAAACAGCGTGTTTGGCGGCCGTCGGGGGACAGAATGCCCCACTGGATTGCAAGGCGCGTTCATCATCCGAGATACGCCCCCAAAAGCAGGTATGACAGTTGTCGTAGAATCTGGGGCTATCTCGTAATCAACGAATGGTCGACGTGCGGCCCACGATCTTCGCAGATGAATCGCGGTGCGTTTTGGACCACGATAAGGCCGCGTGCCGGTGTTATCGGCATGCGCAACACTATCCGCAATACGCTTCGCGGCATTGCTCCCCTCCTCAACATAAGCATCGACCCGATGCTTTGTTTAAAATAAAACAAAAACAAAAAGACGAACTGTGCGAAGATAAATGGCAAACAAGCGTGAATAAACAAAACAAGAGATGCAAACAGGGAGCGTCCTTTAGCGCGCATGATAGGGCTTCAAACGGGCGATGTGTACCACTTCTTGATGTGCGCGACGTCGTTGGGATGAGCTAGCCCCATCAGCGACCACTTCATAGTCCACTTCACCCACTTGACGGATGACTTTGTATGGGCCGAAATAACGGCGAATGAGTTTTTCGCTTAATCTGTGGCGGCGAATGGGCGTCTAAACCCCGACTCTGTCACCTGGCCTGTACGTTAAATCGTGTCTCCGCAGATTGTAACGTCTTACGTGTTTTCGCTGTTGGTCTTTTATGCGCAGACGTGCAAGCTGCCGGGCTTCTTCTGCACGCTGAAGGTAGGCGGCCACGTCTAGGTTTTTTTCATCGGTGACATTAGGCAGCATGGCATCCAGGGTAGTAACGGCATCCTTCCCGTGGACGAGATTAAATGGTGTCATTTTAGTGGTCTCCTGCACCGCGGTGTTGTAGGCGAAGACCACGTAAGGCAGAATTAAGTCCCAGGTCTTGTGTTCTGTATCCACGTACATAGCGAGCATATCGGCAATGGTCTTGTTCAAGCGTTACGTGAGACCGTTTGTCTGCCGATGGTACGCAGTTGTTCTTCGGTGATCTGTAATGTAAGATTGCCCGAGTAAGATCAGCTGTAAACGCCGTTCCCCTGTCTGTTATTAGTACCTCAGGTGCGCCATGCCGGAGGAGAATGGATTCGACGAAAAATTTGGCAACTTCTACGGCTGTGCCGTTCGGAAGGGCCTTAGCTTCAGCGTATCAGGTGAGGTAATCAGTGCTCACTATGATCCACTTCTTATCGGATGTTGACGTGGGGTAAGGTCCAAGCAGGTCCATACCAATCTGTTGGAATGGTCTCGACGGGGGTTCAATTGGCTTGAGCGATCTAGCTGGTTTTCTTGGAGGTCTCTTCCGGCGCTGACATTCACGGCAACTCTTGAAGTACCGCGCAACATCTGAGGAGAAACGGGGGCGGGGCCAGTAGTACCGCTCTTGAATTCTGTGGAGTGTGCGTGTAAAACCAAGGTGGCCGGCAGTGGGTTCGTCACGTAACGCTTGTGAAATTTCTTCTCGGAGGCTGCTTGGGGCGACAAGAAGGTAAGCTGCCTTATTCAATGAGAAGTTCTTTTTAACGACCACCCCGTTTTGCACACAGAAAGAGGATAACCCACGCTTGAACAGTGCCGACGGTATGGAGGCTTTTCCTTCGATGTAGTTGATCAACTGTTGTAGGATCGGGTCTAAGCGCTGCTGTAATGCAAAGGTGCTGCTGCTGATAGGCCCAAGAAAGGCATCGTCGTCTTCATGGCTTGGGGGTGCGCCGACAGGGGCTCTTGAGAGGCAGTCTGCATCGGAGTGCTTACGACCAGACGTGTAGACCACCTTCACGTCAAACTCCTGAAGCCGTAGGCTCCATCGAGCGAGGCGGCCAGAAGGGTGATGAAGGCGGCCAGAAGGGCGGCCAGAAGGGTCTGCGAGCGATGACGCACTCGCAGACCTTGTACTTCTGAACGAGAATAGCACCTAAGCAAATGCTGCTGGCGTCTGTATGTATCTCAGTTTTGGCATTTTCATCAAAGTGATCCAGCACCGGCGGCGACTGTAAACGTAGTCGAAGTTCTTTGAATGCCTCACGTTTCGCAGCTTCCCATTTGAAAGGGGCGTCCGACTTGGTGAGCTGTGTCAAAGGGTCAGCAATGTGTGAGAAGTTCTTGACGAACCGCCGGTAATAGGCGCACAGTCCTAAGAATCGGCGCACTGCTCTCTTATCTTGCGGCTGAGGAAACTGTGCGATAGCGGCTGTCTTTTCGGGATCTGGTCGTACACCATCTTTGCTTATAATATGGCCAAGGAACTGTAGTTCTTCATCGGCAAAATGGCATTTTTCTTGCTTCAGCGTCAGCCCTGATGACTTAATTGCGTCCGGTACCATCCGGAGCCTTTTCAGGTGGTCGCTAAAGTTGGAAGCGAAGACGGCCACATCGTCCAGGTATACGAGACATATTTGCCACTTGAGGCCTGCCAGTACTGTGTCCATTAGACGCTGGAAGGTTGCTGGAGCGGAACAATGTCCAAATGGCATCACTTTGAACTCATACAATCCATCCGGCGTTATGAAGGTGATCTTTTCTCGGTCTGTTTCATCAACCTGAATTTGCCAATACCCTGTCTTCAGATCAATAGACGAGAAGTACTTGTACTTTGCATCACTAAGACGATCTAGGATATTGTCGATCCTTGGTAAAGGGTACACGTCCTTCTTGGTTACACTATTTAACTGTCGGTAATCGATGCAAAACCAAAGACTTTCGTCTTTCTTTTAGACAAGGACGACCGGTGCTGCCCATGGGCTTTTCGATCGCTGAATTACATCGTCGTGTAACATTTCCTCAACTTGCTCTCGGACGGCCTGGCCTTCACGTGCCGACACACGATAAGGGCTTTGATGGAGAGGGCGGATGTCTTCTTGTATTATGATTCGATGCTTTGCGAGAGAAGTTGAAGTGGCGAAACAGTCGTCATAACGTCGAAGAAGGTTCTGGAGCAGTTGCTGCTTGCATTAAGTAAAGGAAGGGTTAATGTCGAATGACGGCTGCGAGTTGTGGGTCTGTGGGGTGATGGTCGCTGGATTCGAAAGGGAGAGGGTGTCGCTGACTTCAGCAATTTAATCGAGAAAGGCTATGGTCGTGCCTTTGGCCAGGTGACGGTGTTCTTGGCTGAAATTTGTTAGCAGCACTGGGCCTTGTCCATTCCGGAAGTCCGCAATGCCTCTTGCGATTGCGATATCACGACCAAGCAAAAGCTGTATGTTACCTTCGATAATGCCATGGGCATTTTCGACAGCATTAGTGGTTACGGTGATTAGGGTGGTTGAGCGGGGTGGAACGCTCACGTCATTCTCGAGCACACAGAGGGCTGCGCGATTATGTGGTGCCGAGAATGAATTTATGGCTTCATCCGAGGAAGGTTTGATGGATCTGGACGCCAGGTCGATAACCGCGTGATGTTGAGTCAAGAAGTCCATGGCGAGAATGACGTCACGGGAGCACTCTGGGAGCACCAAGAAAATCGCAAGGTATGTGTGACCAACGAATGTCACCCTTGCAGTACATTGCCTTGATGGGGTGAGGAGGTGGCCTCCCGCTGAGCGGATCTGCGGGCCGTCCCAAGCCGTCTTAACCTTCTTCAGTTGTCAGTCAATGGCCTGCTGATGACCGAGTAGTCAGTCCCTGTGTCAATCAAGGCAGTTACCGGGTGGCTGTTAATAGATACTTCAAAATCGGTGACACGTGGGCTGGAGTTGCGCGTTTTGGGTTCGGGTCACGGCTTCGTCTTGTTGCTTCGTTTTGCTTCGTCTCGCGGCTTGGGTTGTTGTGCGTTGTCGTCGTCGTAGATGATGTGCTGTCGTCATATATGGTCTTCGATGGAGGGTCTTCAGCTTTTCCTCTTGAAGCAACCTCACCTCCAAAGATTGCTGGTTTTAGTTTCCTCTATGGGGGCTTGGGGACCTTCTTCGTTCGTTGTCGCTGCGGTTCGGTGACGCGAAGCATGGAGATGGTGGTGATGGAGAACGGCTGGACAAGTACTCTGTATGGCATAAGTAGTCTTCGATTGCCGGAGGTCGTTGTCCAGGGCGTGGCCGTGGTGCCCGAGATGAGAAGCCATGCAGTCTCATCCGCCTGTAGGGGCAGTGTCGAGGAACGTGGCCGGCCTCACCGCAGTGAAAGCATAGGGGACGGTCGTCGGGAGTTCTCCAGGTGTCGCATTTTCTTGGGCTCGGGCGTCTCTCCTATGTAAGTTGGGCGGGGAAGGGCGGACGGCTACTTGGGGCTACAGGGTACTGTCGAGGACTGGGCTCGTTTCGTCGGGGTGGCCTAGTGTTCACTGCAGCAGCGTAAGTCACTGCTTCGGCCTCTGTTCCAGTCGTCGCTGATAAAGAGCCAAGCGCCTGCTGGACTTTATCACGCACTATGTCCAAGAGAGATGCTGCCTGGGGGGGCTGGGGGGAAGAAGGTAGCAATCGACGTAGTTCTTCTTTAACCACTTCTCGAATAGCTTCCAGCAGATCGTTGGTGGTTAGCCCACCTCGGATCGGTTCGGAGTAGAGCGAGCTGAGCTGAAACGGGCGGTTGTATTGCTGAGTCCAGGCGTCCAGGGTCCTTTCTATGATGTGCGCTTCTTCAGTTAATTCGGCGACTGTTTTAGGGGGGTTTCTTATGAGGCCGGCAAAAAGCGACTCCTTCACCCCTCGCATTAGGTATCCGACCTTTTTGTCTTCGGTCATGTCTTGGTCCGCTCGCCGAAAAAGACACTTCATTTCTTCGACGTACACGTTTAGGGTCTCATTCGGCTGTTGGGTCCTCGATTCTAGCAGCAGCTGGGCCCTTTCTTTTCGCATGATGCTGGTGAAGGTCCTGAGCACCTCATTCTTCAGAAATTCCTAGGTGGTCAGTATGGTCTCATGGTTCATACCACGTTTTTGCGGGGCCGTCCAGGGAAAAGTTAACGTATTGCAGCTTCATTTCTTCATCCCACCTGTTTATGATAGCCATGCGCTCGAATTGGTCCAGCCATTCTTCTGGGTCTTCAGCGGCATAACCTTGGAAAGTTGACGGCACCCGCGGCTGCTGCAGAATGACAGGGGTGGGTGATTGCGGGTAGCTCATAGTGGCTGTGGAAGCGTCCTTTCGTGGTCGCGTGGGTTCGGTAGCAGTCCCAGCTCAAGTGGCAGGTTTCGGAGGCGGCGGCTGCTTCGAGTATCCGTGTCTTCAGCGTCCTCGTTTTCTGCAGTGGCTGTTTTAAGGTGGTTCTTGTGCATACCACGCACCTCCACCAGTTGTCACGTAGTAGTGAGGGTAGCTCGAAGACAGGAGACCGGGAGGCTCGTAGAAATAGAAGGGAATCCGTTTATTTGGCGGACTTGCGCCCACTAAAGAAAAATAGCGGGTGGTGAACAGCATGTTCGGCGGCCGTCGGGGGACAGAATGACCCACTGGATTGCAAGGCGCGTTCACCATCCGAGATACGCCCCCAAAAGCAGGTATAACAGTCATCGTAGAATCTGGGGCCATCTCGTAATCAACGAATGGTCGACGTGCGGGCCACGATCTTCGCAGATGAATCGCGGTGCGTCTTGGACCACGATAAGGCCGCGTGCCGGCGGTATCGGCATGCGCAACACTATCCGCGATACGCTTCGCGGCAATATGCTCTGTATAAAGCATTTCTAGCCTTCCAACTCGTCCTCATGACTGCTCCTAGCACGACACCCGCGCGTGTTTGCACTGGCCATGCAACCCGACTCCCAACAGTGACGAAAGCAGTGAGACGGTGTGACATCCGATTCCTAACAGTGGTGGCAGTGGTGGGAAACGAGGCAACCCCATTCCCAACGACGGCACCAAAATGACATTGCGTAAGAATCAAAAACAGGGGGAGGGGGCGCATTGCTTGTTCATTGGGAGTCAATTATTGGTGACCAAAACAGGCAGTCCATCAGATAGATGGACACATTGTACACTGGCTCACCTGCCGGCTGCCTCGTCGCGGTGTGGTGCCATCCTCCGTGCCAGAGAACGAGTCGCTCTTTTTCCGTTTGGTAGCCCTGCCCCTGCGTAGCAGCGTCTCTTCCTGGCTGCTCGTCGGTTCCGGCTCGGCCGGCCGCACCACTGTGCCCGGGTACGGCCCATACAGATCACCTAGCCCTGGCACAGGGGTATAAGTGGGGACGTTAAAAGGAGTAACACTACATAGAATGAGTGGGCATGTGTCAATTGGAACACGATAAAAAGTTCAGGAGGAGACTGAGGCTAGGTGAGAAAGACCTTAAATGTAGAATGTCACTGGAGTAAAGTTTGCTAGAAGACTTTTCACCAGGAAAGCAAATGCATCAGCACAATTTTTGCATGTGTCCTGCTCACTCTCGCCCAACATCAGTGAAAATAGGATGTGAACTCTGAGCTGAAATTGACTTTTCAGCCTGGTTCACAGTTGAAAAAATTGGCCCCGTATCTGCATGTAATCTGCAAATGTCTTCGAAAGACGATAGTCTTGCGAGTGGAGAGAGTGAACAAGACATTTATTTCATGTTTTGTGCAAGAAAATCAGTGAATGGTATTCTGGAGGCGCTGCGTTAGAGTGCCTCGAGCGTGCAGCGGAGGGGAACGAGTGCATCAAGTCACGTCACACGTGAGACATAAGCGCCATCTGGCAGTTGTCTTAGAAAACAAAATGCGTGGCTGTGAGACGGGTGTGTGCGCCCATCTCGGAGATGATAAGGTGTAGAATGCAAGGCGATGGCTAGGTGCCACCACCGTTTCGTTTTAGCAAAGCGTTGGAAACACCCGCCTTTCTGTGCAAGAGTTGCATGGTCAGCGCAGCGTGTTAAGCGCTACGGTCCTTAAAATTACTTATGTATGCCTTTTCTAGTAAGAGACGCGCATGTAGAATATATACGTGTTGTTATGGTGCCCAAGACATGCGCAATGATTGCTTTTTAATTGACAATTGCACAAGCATGAACGCTCAACCTTGAGCAACATAGGTGGGCGCTGAAGATGGGGTCGACCGTTTCAAGTACCCGATGCCGTTAAAAATGGACACAAACAGACAAATGTACAGACAGACAGACGGACCGCAATTTTTGCGTCGAAGATCCCCAAGAAAGATTGTCATCTTTAAAAGGCTGTTTGGGCTGGAAATTTCACATTCCCAGCTGGAAGCGTTTTTTTTTTTTTTTTTCCAGCTGGAATTGATGTTTCCAGCATGTATATGCACTCGATTCCCTACTGGGCAGTCATATTTAGCTGGAATTTGTTTGCCACTTCCAGTTGGAAAATAATCTGCTCCACAGGAAATTTTCCTGCGAATGGAGAAGCAGTTTCAGTCCCATCAACGTTACTCTACGTACTTAAGTTACTGTAGATGAATTATATAATGCGCAAGGCGCACATTCATTGTTAAAGAAGACTAGGAATGTTCGTCTCATAGTAAATTAAGGCCCGTTTAAAACCACCATATGAAATGCCCTGTAAAGCTTGGTTGCAGAGAAGATACGACTGGGAAAAAAGCATCTTTGCTTGACCTTTGAACACAGCGGTCAACATGGCATTACGAACATAATTGTGGACGTCCGAACTGGAGCTCACCCAGTTTGCTTACGAGTTGTTGCACGAATACCGTATTTATTTCGAATCTAGGTTGATACAATCTAGGTTTGCCTTTGATTACTGTATCGGTAACCACCGGTAACTGTGGCAGTAAAGCAACACGACAGATCCCGTGTAGACACAACTGCCAGCGTCGATTCAAATTCGTGCTTGCCACGTGCCCTTAGTCCCAACAGCAGCGTTTGTAAACCGCGGAACCAGATACCACTCTGTGTCATGCGAAGCTGAGAACCACGTATCAGGCATGTTCTGTAGTCGTCGAGATCAGCAGTTTATTTATATTTAGCATTGCCTGCTACATGCGTCCATGAGAGTTTCAGAATGAATATTGGAAACCGTGCAAAATAGTGATGAATACATAGCTGTTGAAGCACCCATATGCAAACATAACACGCACACAAGTGTCCTGTTGAGTTTACGAGGCCTTCAGTGCATTAAAACTACAATAAATTCAAATTCGAAGAAATCAGTGTGCTGCCATTTTTTTTTTAGTACAGTCAAACCCCCCTACAACGAAACTCACGGAGCGCAGAAAATAATTCGTTGTAGTGAAATTGAAAAAAATATAGCTGATCTGAGCTAGCAAAACAAAGGAATGTTTATTCTAAAAAGTAAAAAAAGTGTCCATGGCTTCCTATTCTTTTCCCAGCAGCGTCACGACGCAATTCTCAGTTGTGCATAGCGAGGCCATGGTGAAAAGCATGCTGAAAAAACGCCTACAACCGCTTTCGTGAACGTACCCAACAGTTGCATTGACCAGCAGCTGTCGTCATCAAGGTGTATCTGACAATGCTGAGATGAAGGCAGGGTATCGTGGAGCGGTGACTTTTGTCTTATTCTATGCCATTCTTATCATCCATCACTGGCAGCTAGCTGATATTGTTGATAATGTGGACGAACAGCAGCTCTGGTTATGTACCCCACAGGCCAAGCACAAGTAAAATGATAAGCATTGGAATCGGAAAACGCATCGTTCCGTGGTTGCACCCAGCAGCTGCGTGAAGGAAACCATGAACTGAGCGAGCGTTGGAGCGACTGAGCTTCAGCTTCGGATTGTCTGCGGCTCAAAAGCAAGCCAGTGGCAAAAGCAGGGCAGCCTCATTGCCATCCCTATCAAGCAATGGCGGCGCCAATGCTTGCTGAACAGTGGCGGTTTCTGGTGGTGCTAACGCGTGTTTTGGACTTTATCAATGTATTTTCAGATTCTGAAAATGCATCCAAATGTTGAAGATTGGGTTTACTGTAGAACAATAAATATCCGAGCCTGGAACTGCATCGTGAAGTTTTATTAAAGCGGGATAGCAGAAGTGTTTGGTGTGGCGAGAATATTTATGCATTACTATGGACTGCTGACGGGAATCGTGATTTTTCATTGTAGCAGAAATTTGGTTGAAGCGGCGTTTGTTGTAGCAGGGTTCGACTGTAACAACATGGCTGTTGCTGGCCAATGCCTGAGCACAGACACAGGGAATGCTGAGCATATGATGCGGTGTGGACTAATGCATCGTGAAGGATTTTCACTTTTCCTAATGGCTAACCAGTCTCTCTCAATCTGTACACAGCTGCAACTCACGAGATAACAACTATAATAACAAATTTAGTTAATAACAAATTAACTGATGCACTAAGTTGTCTATCATCTAGTACTAGTAGAATGTCCTGCTGTGGTTTCATTCCGTACCCCACATTTACTTTACTATCTTGATGATTAAAACACTGTTGCCAATAACATTATGATTCTAGAAGTTCACCAAGAAAACAGAGAAAACTCGAAGAAACAGAAAAAAAAACTAACATTCTTGAGGTTCTAAAATTCCTATGCACGGCATCGACGAAGCTACAAGCGAAACGAAAGTTTTGCAAAGGAATTAAAATTTCCAACTTTTTTTTTTTTGCAAACTGTTCAAAAACAGCAAAATACAATAGAAGACCAAACAAGTTCCCCAGTGCCAGCCTCAGTCCTGTGCCAAGCGTTTTTTTTTTCAATGAAGGCTGCACTGCTAGCTGTCACGTAAGCAGTCTCCTAGTTGCGTTTTTGTAGTCAATTTCTAGACTTTACTGTTAGCGCAAGTCCAACAAAATGGGCCTTACTAAGTTACAACTAAGCACATAGCAGCGAAGCTGACAATACAACACCTCAATGACTTTGGTAGCACCCAAACACAAGTCACCAATATCACACTTTGCAACAGGCTTGCGTAATTGATGGCATAGAGTCAAAGCCCATTTCGAGTGGCATGAGGATTACCCCAACAAAATGACAGCAAGGTGGCCTTTCGCATCAGGGGCAAGGAAAAAATTCAGAAACCCTTGCCATATTGGGAAAAGTGGAGACAAGCAAAGCTTGACGTGAGTGTGTCTGATGTACGCTCACGCCTCATTATAACAAGATTGCACATTACACTAAAATATGGTCGTTACGTCAAAAAAATATTGTTAAAGGTATATTCCTAACACTATATCTATTGCAGGACTATCCTTCACTTTGTTATAACTGATATTTCGTTATACTAGGGTGAGTTACATCAAGGCTGGGGATTTTCTTTCTTGCTTTTTTTTTTCTATGACATTATCAGACCATCATCTACACACTTATCAGTGTAACACTTCATTTGCTTCAGTTGGCAACGATGGTCATGCGTTCATATCCAGGCAACAAGGAATCGAGGCAATGTGAGATGACTGGTCACCTCAAAGAAAGATCAGACTGCCATTTCAGAGCCAACTGATCGCCAACTAGACTACGACAGAGATAGCATCTACTACCAAAAATGATAAGCACAAATATGCACGTGGCGGCACACCTTTGAGGGTGGCACTTATACGTGTCAATGGGCACGCTTTTTTTTTTGCGGTCCCACCTACAACACCAACGACATTGTGAGGTAACACAGGTTGTGCCTGAATATGATGCGCAATGTGAAAAAGTTTGAGCGCATTGCTAAAGGCCGCCACTCACCTTGGTGATGGCTGCCCTTCAGGCAAAACGCGCACAACCACGTAGGGTCCCGCGTCACAGCATCGTAGTGCGGTGACAACGTGCTTGTGTGCGCCGCCGATCCGGCGAGCCGACGACCCGTTGCATGGTGCGGTCCCACACGGGCTGTGGGGGCACTGACCTTTTTCCGCTTGCTCTCGTCCTCTGGCACAGTGCGTGGAGTCATGTTGACGATGTGTGATGACAGCGGCCGCTCACGCGTCCCAAGCACGCGAACATACGGTCCCGTCGTCGGCGTGCGAACCTTCGTCGTTGTTGCTGCAGTGACCATCATGGCGGTGGGTGTCGCTGCAACCACCGAGTGCGCTACCGGCCCCCCCTTGCGCTGCCTCCGCTTTACCACGGCTCCCGAATCCTTGGCCTTGTTTTTCGCGCCAAAGGGTCGTCCCCTCTTGCGCTTTGTTGGCGACTGCTGTTGTCGAGTGGTAGCGGAAGCCGCAGAGGTGGCACTTGCCATCGCCGTAGCAGCAACAGCCGCAGTTGTAGTAGCAGTACCACTAACACTCCCCGCACCACTCACTGACACACGCTCTGGTTCCGACACGCTAACCTCCGGTTCCGTTTTCACCCTCTGTGCTGGTGATTGTTCCGTCGGCATAGCTGTCAGGGGCACCGGCGACGCGTTCATTCCGTCGGGAACACCTGCGACACTGCGCCGCCTGAGCTTGCCCCCGCCATCCATGGCACCCGAACCAGACGGCACTGCCGATGGCCCGGGGCCCCCGACACTGGAAGGCCGATTGCACAGCGTACTGTCTAAACTACGTCGCCGCTTTATCGGGTCATCGCTGGGCGGTGATCCTCCCCTTGGTCCTGCGCTGGCATAAGGCCGTTCAAATTCACCAGACCTTGGCGGGGGACCCGCCATAGGCCTACTGCCCGACCCAAAATCACTGTCATTCACACCATTCACAACAGGCTGAGCATACACACCAGAAGACGGAACAGAAATGCCACCACTACCGGTCCTTTCACCCCGCAGGGCTGGGTTGTTGTCCATGTTGGGCAGCACCGTACGGTAGGCACCCGTGGCAGCAAAGTTCGCAATGCCATAAGGTGGGCCTGGGTCCGGAGGAGTGCACATCCGGTTCTGGTCGAGGTTGTAGTACGTCGGGTACGGCGAGCTGGGTCCACTCTCAGTGCCACCACCAGAAGTGGATCCATAGCCGGACGACTCCTGCATGCCACCATAGCTCGCGCTTCCGCTGCTGCTATTGTGGGGGTCCAGAAGAACCATCTTCTCAAGCGACTGGAGGGGATCGTGGGAGCCTGTTATGGGAGATGGAGGTTTCTGGAGCTGCGGGGTGGGGGCGGGTGTGGGCGGGGAGAATGGTGGCTGCTGCGATGGTGCGGGCGATCGCGCGTGGCAAGCAAGCGGAGAAGGGGTTGTCCGGGGCGATTGGGACCATGATGGCGACTGGCTCTGCGGTACTGGCACGTTCCCGTGAGGCGGTGGGGGCGGTGCCACGGCCATGGGAGGGCCGGCAGGCCCTGGAGGCACCACCGTGCGGTAGTTTCCCATCGTGTGCATTGTCGGTGCACTGCTGACGGGCGAGCGGATTTGCGGTGGACTCTGCATCATGACGGGCCTTGTGCCGTAGTTCCCGCCGCCGCCCATGCCATGGTCCCAGGCGCCTGGCGGCTTTGAGAGTGGTGCTGGGGAGCCCGGATATGCTGGTGGGGCCGAGTGACGGGGACCGTACCGCATCTCGGGCACGGCCCCAGGGTACGGCTGCCGTGGGTAGGGTCCGGGACTGCTTGGCATGGGGCCATTGCCGTAATTGCCGCCGCAGTGCTGGCCCGGCGGTGGACCATAAGAAGCTGGCGGAGAGCTCGGGTGAGGCCGGTACTGTCCCGGATATGGGTAGCCCCCACTGCCGCTTTGACAGTGACCGGGCTGCAAGGTGAAGCAGCAGCAGCGTTTGTCACTTTACTCTACAGACACGACAAACCATTCATGAAAGTACATTAACAGCAATTGCTTCAAAAAGCCCTCAATAAATTTGCACTCAACAAGCATGGCTCAGTGGCAGGGACAGCATGAAACCTGAAGATCAGTCATAGTACATAGAGCTGCATTACTTTGGGCCACATCACAAGGAATTATCACATCTTCCATGCACTTGCAGACGATCACAGAAGAGCTTAGCCCTGATCACACAGCGAAGTTTAAGAAAAGCATGGAATAGAAAAGACTAGCCTTTATTGACATGTCGCTCCCATTACCCAAGGAGGCACCTAAATTATGGTAAGAATGATTTAGATTTACTCTGACTGTAGCCTGGAAATGTTGTAGGCTCGTGTACTCAGATTTGGGTGCACGTTAAAGAACCCCAGGTGGTCTAAATTTCCGGAGCCCTCCACTACGGCGTCTCTCATAATCAAATGGTAGTTTTGGGACGTTAAACCCCACAAATCAATCAATCAATCTGATTGTGGCCTAACTGCATGTACAATTCTAAAATGTTCGTTACAGGGACCTTTTAATGTACTAGTTAATTTACAAGCAGCACAGCTTTTTAATTATACATAAATGAATCAGTTACCAAATGTAATAATAATGGGGGTTCCAAGTCCATCGATATTAAAGGGACACTGAAGGCCAGCATCAAGTCGGCATGGAATGTTGAAATCAAATATAGGAAACCTTCTTGCACTCGTTTTCTGCCAAAAAACGATTGGTCTGAAAGTAACTTGCTTTTTAGTGGTCGTTAATTTAATTCAGATCACCCACCAGTGTGGCGTAGCATTCGTCAATCCCGTCTCTGGCCAGCGCTACACTGACATTTGCTATTTTTTAGCAGCGCTGCACCCCACGCCCTTCTCCACTCGTTTTATCAAGTTTCATGTTGCTATATGCCCTGTAAATTCTCATACACTTGCCAGCAGCGTTCCGTGGCTATGAACATGATGCAATGACATCGTCTTATAGCCTACATGTCTGGCCACCACTGTGGCGCATGGCCATGCGTGTTTCGTGCGCTTACTCGTACTATCGTCTTTCTTTGTGGCATCGTTTACTAATTATCAATCCTCACCAACTAGCCCAGATACCTGTTCTTGAATTGATGTGTAAATTTGATGCATTTACAGACAGTTCTTCACAGGTCACACCTGATGAAGGGGGTAACCTCTTGCTGTAGTACGAATAGTTTGCCTTTAGTGTCCCTTAATTACCACTTAAAATATTTTGGTGGTTTCCCGAACTAAGAGGCACAAAAATGACAAAAGGAAGTGATGGATGAAAACAATAATTGAGACACTTACCCCTCGACCTTCATAGGGGTGTTCTGCAAAGTTCATGCTCTGCCCGACACAACCTAAAAAGAGAAGAGCATAGGAGTATGAGAACACACTGCAGCAACCCGAAAGCACTAGTCAATAATTAGTGACAGTAAGAATGTATTATTTTGAAAAGTTTAGGATATTATCTCCCTAGTCAAAAAGTATGGGAAGTATGAAAATCGCAAAGGCAACAGTAAACCAGTTTGACAAGTTATCTTGTTGGATTGAAGAAAAGTCCCATTGCTGTGAATGTCGGGTGCCATTTTTCTTTGACTGGAACCGAACGTCGAAATTTTATTAGCGAACGTTGAAACTTTATTAAAACCTGAATGCTGCCCGCAGTTCCTTTTACAGTGAAAGCTGTTGCGAGGTCACAACGTTCAAGGCCCGATTTTCACACCGAGTCGTCTGCCGCTGCTGGTGTTTGTAATTGCTATCGCGCGAAATAGGGGAAAAAAAACAACAAAAAATACCCACGATAAAATGAGACTCTTACTCAGGCGCTCTGCGTGGCAGCACAGTATGCTACCACAGAAAAACTCTTGTGCTCAAAATTTTTGAAAACTGATCCTAGGCACGCTTCATGTTGGGTGAGTAATGACGTTGTAGCAAGGGAGCAATAAGACGACGACATGACAGCGCGCGACGTGGCCATGCTGATCTCTAAATTTATTTGGAACTGTCGAAGCGAAGCTGTATCTCGCTACAATGTTAACATGTGTAACAGAGTATTTTAAAAGAATGATGTAACAACCAGGCATCACACAATGTGAATTGCATAAACAGAGTGGGTTGTTGAATGCCTCAAACTCACTACATAAGGCACAGCTATAATCGTCATCTGGCTCAGCATGAACAGAGTGCACACAATGCCTTACCATGTGTGTAGCGGGTACCACACTTCGGCGAATGACGGATAATGAAATATTGGGTGCTTCCCCACTTTGCAATATTTATGATGACTTATGGCACAGTGGCTGCCATGCAAGTGTACTCGAAGCAGTTACCCCCAGAGAGTTTAAAAAAGGCTGCGGAAAGGTCGCTTTTCCAGCTCTCACTATGCCAGTACTGCACGTTGTGCAAAAGGCCTGCTGGTTCTTGGTGATAATTCTATATCATCTGTGAAGACTCATATTTAAAAAAATAAAGCTGTGTAAATTTTGGGCATGTATTTTTTGCAACATTTAACGCAGACAAGTTTTAAGCCCACCACACATCTGGGGAGCATTTTTTAATAAGACTTTTGTGACAGTAATACGGGCTATCGCCTTTGGTAAACTTCACTGCATTGCAAAATTTTAATGCTACATATTTTGCTAGAAGGAAACAAGAGCATATCAAAGGGCTCAGTTACTTTGTTAGACACAATATTGAGGACATCCAACTGACAAAAAAAAAAAGAAGGAAAGTATGGCATTCCCTTTCGAGTCATCTTGAAAAATAATGCACAAGGAAACCTGCAATTCATTTCATTTTGCTATCTGCAAAATCAGCCGGGGCGATTGGTACAGGACTGTAGTCAAGCTTCCCACGAGGTCCCAAACACTGATTGGTCATGCCAAACACACGATAAGGCAGCCAAGAAATTTAAGACGAAATTAAAAGAGAGAACAGCTCACCCGGGTAGGCAGCTGGATCAGCCATGCCCCTCCAGGGAACCTGGGGGGAGCTGGCGTACTGGGCCCCTACGCCGTCCACGCCGCCCGTCTCCGCGCGTCCTGCGAGTACAAGGAAAGGTCTATCAAAAGGGCTTCCTTCATAAAGGCTGTCTATGGAGTGCAAAGTCTATCAAGAGATTCTATCACAAATGGAATACAAGTGTACCCTTCTATGACATGCGCTAGGCTATCTATAAATGCAAGACATTTACACCATTCAATGCCAACGTTATGAAGTCCAAATTTAAAGCAAGCAGTAGTCGACACTTTTCGACAGCCGGTACGTTTAATCAAAAATATATGGCGCTAACGGCAGACCGTGGCTAGAGCAACTGTATATGACCACTATGGGACCAGAGTAGCACAACTGTTTTCCAACGCCGCCGCTAGCAACCATGCATTGTGGAGATGCTGATGCTCAAGCCAATTTGGTGTTTTTCGACTCCGCTGCTGCATTCGCGCGAATCATCCCCAGTCAAGTTCAAAGAAAATCCGGCTGGTCTTCGCGCCTTTTCTGAACACGGTTCATAGATGCGTGTGGTGACTTCGGATCACCTCTATGTGCACACCGCCACGAACAGGGTCCGTGACCACTATCGCACGCAAACGAAAAGAAAAACCTACGTAAAAAACATACTTGTCTTACTTGGGAGTCGAACTTGAGTCTTTTGCGTGGCATTACAGTACTGTACCACAAAGCTACGCTGAAACTTCAAGCTGCGCTCTAAACTGACCTTATGTAGGTTACATATCGGGTATCGATTTGCGTTAACACATGTAATAAATCATTTTAGAATAGTGAAGTAACAACCATGCATCACACAACGCAAATTGTGCAAAGAGTGCGTTGTTATGCTCTTCGGCATTTCAAAAGCCCCAGGCCTAATTCTTCATTGCGTTATATTCACCGCGATTAATCAGGTGATTTTATGTACCTTCAAGGTAAATGAATGTCGCATTTCATCAGCATAATGTGAATACTGAATGCTTCCGCTTGTTAGTCGGTCAAAAATTTTTACAAATGTGTCAAATGTGAATGTCACAAGGCAAAATAAGTTGATAATGCTAGCTCTGCACTTTTCACCACGTGCTGACCAAGAATGTCGCTTTTTTTGCCATGTTATTTAGCCAGCTTTTACGTTGCACTTTGATGGCGATCGGGTAGAAAAGCGGCCTTCAAGCCCTGCAAACAATGTGTGAAGGTTGCAAGCCAAGTAAGTTGATAAGCAACACGACAGGCGTGTTGCCTGCAAAAACAGAGGGCAACTTTGCCACATAGCTGTGGTTGCTAGTAAGGCAAGATGGCAAACCTATGCGCTACTTTGATCCCGTAGGGACCATATAAAGTTACTTTAAACGTGGCTTTCTCCATGTCATAGACTTGAGCAGTGCTGCTGCAGAAAGTAATCATTTCGCCTTTACGCTTGGTTTCAAATTGTAAAAGCAGCAGCATCAGTCAGCGACACCTTCAAATTTCAATAACAAAGTGTCAGTCAGCGCTGCCTGTTGCCATTGCACCGCAATGGCAAGAGGCGGCACTGACTGACACTTCCACTTTTAATGCACAAACATGCCCACTAAAGTGGATAGGGAAATAGCCACCATGGTAGCTCAGTTGGCAGAGCACCGAACGCGTCATTCGAAGGTTGGAAGTTCGGTCCCTGCCCACGGCAAGTTATCTTTTCAACCACTTTTCTTTCTTCACATTTACATTGCGATTGCTTATAATAATGTCCCCTACACTTTCCTCAGCATAGTTGTCTGATACTTCTCATTAAACATAGCAACGTATTTTGAAGTTCCGGCCAAATGTTCCACGTTCCTGTCTAGTTTATCAGGATACTGCCTTCACCGAAGCGATCACATGCAGCAAAGTATTTAAACCAGAGGGGGGGGTTAAGGAAAATCGAGGGCAACAAGAATGCTTAATTAACCATTGCGTCAGCCTTTGCCATCTATCGCTCGCCAATACAGTCGAACCCCTTTACAAGAGACACTGATATGAAAGACCAATTGGTATAAAAGACACCAGAGTGCCTGCACTGAAATCCGGGTTGATAAGAAAATGCATACAAAGTGACCTGCTTACAAAAGAGAAGAGAGATCTGATTAATTGCTGCTCAGAACATGCCTCTTATAAAGGGGTTTAACTCTAGCACAAAGAAAGGCCAAAGAATGCCATGTTTTCAAGAAAAGGCCACACCACATTGCAAAGGGATAATAAGGAAGCATTCATCAAGAGGAAGCATTACAATTGAAAACATAAAATTCAATGTCCAGTACTTGAGACATTTAGACTACTTCGTTATACAGGTCGCCTCATTGTAAAGGCAGAGCACGATTATGTTACCTTTTACAGTTGGTATGTAAGGAACTATTTGTTACAAGGGTCATTCTGTTGTAAAAGATATCATTGTAAAAGATTTAGACATGTACAACCATTGCAAACCATTACAAGGCTGGTCATTAATACACAATGATCAAGTCTACGAATAAAAAAAATAAAAAAGGGGGGGGGGGGAATGGCCTGCAAATAGGGACCACCATCACAAGCAAACCATTACTATACACAATTACAAGAGTTGAAAGATTTTACATCAACCAGTAAATTTTGACATAAACAAAGCCAAGAGGATGGAAGACTTTTGTATGGAGATATTGCTTGTATTTAACAACTTGCGCATACAAAAATCTTTACTAAACTGTGCAAATTTCTTGTGCAATTATGCCACGCTTTGCAATGCCCTGAACAACATAAAAATAGCTCTATTTTAAAGGATTATTAAAGATGAAACGTTAAAACACATGCATTCTGACATTTTACTATAAAACATCATTTGCTTTTAGAAGAATAAAATGAGCTGAAAATAATGGTAGACTTTAGCTCTCGAATTTCGCAATGAGATCACAGAAATGGTCACTTCGGTATGTGATCAAGCATGGTATTTGCACATTTTCGACAGCAATATTGCACTAAAGCTTTACACAGCAATATTGTACTAAAGCTTTACAAATACAATTGATTAGCTTGTAGTTAGCAAGGAGAGAAGATAAAAAGTGGACACTTAAAAAATCATGAAGTAATAGGGCCGCTACGCCAATTTCATGGCACTACTACCGGCCCTTCTCGTTTTCGCTTCCTTCTCTGGAGGGTTGAAAACTGAGTGTGCCTATTACCAATCTTCTCAATAGGCTTTCTTATACATAATTTCTATTGATTGTAGTAGAAACACCCACATTGCAATGAATTCAGTGACACAACAATTTTCTGACTAAAAGCCATGTACAAGTGAACACTTGCAGACCAGCAACATGCAGAAAGCCAGAACATGGGTCTTTGTTTCACATTTAAGCTGTAAACCACAAATCAAGCGGGCCTTTTAAGTGTAAACTACACTGGTATCTCTAACATACAAGTGAGGAAAGGATGCTAGAAAGGTAGAAAGTGAAAAAAAAAAAAGAGTGCTGATACACATTTTTTGACTGATTATTAAATTTGCAACCTCCCCAGTCCCAGAGTACCCTATCGGATATTGTAGTGTCAAAGGCTACAGATCACCACCAGTGGTGTACCAACTCTTACGTGAGTGGAGGAGCTAAACTACTTTAATCGTCAGTCGGTATGTGTTTATGCATGCATGCATGTATGCATGTATGTATGTATGTATGTATGTGTGTATGTGTGTGTGTGTGTGTGTGTGTGTACTTTTGGAGGGAGAACTTCATCGATGCGCTGGCACTTTCATATGAATTTGCATACAGAGAGGTGAGACGACGCACATTCTTGAATACCATTGAAGTTCAATCTCACTCAAACAGGCCGAGGAATGGCCCTCCTAGCCCGATTCGAGCATCCAATATGCTATGCTCATCTTGCTATCACGCCTCTTTCTCCGATTATGGTTTGGCGGTTAACATCTACAGATACCACAATGGTTTGTTTAATAAATTCATCGTGAATGTTAGTCGTAGGGATAGAGATGTACCAAGCGTCATCAAGGATACATTCACGCTGAACAGGGCTATAGCTGCAAAACACCAAAACAAACATTCGGCAAACCCTCCTTTATCAATTTGCCGTAAACATGTAAAGGCGCATTTTGCTTTAGTGTTATATGCCGATTTCTATGACGAAAGGATCAACCATGTTTTTTCAATGAATTATTGCTGACATATTTTTTCGCAATAAGTATTACACCGTCTTGCATATATTCAGGCATGCGTGTATCATAATTGGCCATATTTGCTATTAGTCTAAACACTATTGATGGAGTGTGCAATTATTATTATTAATATTACTATCGTTATATTACTTGTAACTTATCAACTTTTCAGTCCTTTTCTTTTAAATGTATAATTAGTGTTGTTAGGGGCGTCATGCATTGTTTACACTCATTGTATTTGTATTAAAGCTCCATAACGGGCCCCCAGGTATCTCCATAAGTACAACAAAGGGACAGGGGTTATTCCCCTCTTCCCCCAACTCGCCCGGTGAAAACTGCTGGACTTTGAATAAAGTTTGTTCATACATTCACTTTTCTTAGAAAGAACAAAATGTGGGCAAATAAACTATACATCGTTACTTCCTTTTGAAATGCTTGTTAGCTGTATATGATCGGTGTAAACAGTTTTTGTCATGCACACAGCACCAGCTGGTTACTCGAGTCAACAAATTACGTGAAAGTGATCCATCGTGTAATAACCGCTTAAGCACGACCACATGAAGACCACATAAAAATAAGAAAATAAACTATTTTTATCACGGCATATTGTTTGCTACTGGTTATTCAGCATTTAAAAATTTCTGTGCGCCACAAAATCGCCTGCTTGTTACATGACATCACGAAGTCGGAGAGCATCTCCTTTTAAATGTAATTCAAGTAGGTTAGCTGCCAATTACATGAGCAGAGACTACGTATAGCAGCTGGCAAGATAGATTATGACTTTAATAAAATATTTCCACTTTCAGCATAACGGTGTTTAGTAGTTGGTGCACGTAACATCTGTGTAGCTCATACTGGCTGAGAGAAAGAGAAATAGAGTGAAATAAGCAGCATTGTACGTGTGCACTTTTTAGTTCTCTGAAATGTATTTTGAGCTGTAAACGACAATTGAAGTTGAGTGAAAACCAACTAGCCCGATTCTTAACTAAGTCTCCATAGGGCTAAAAAGCACGGTTTTTGACCTTCTTCCTGGTCTGGTGGGTCAAGTTGTGGGGCAAGCTTAGAAGCTGAGCTTCCTACTGAGCTCGAGTCCACTGCTTTATTCGTGGCCACTTTACAAGCTGCCACTATGGCTCGAAGTTACCATAAGCAAGGCCAATCAAGTTTATCAGAGACTAAACCGGAAACAATTTATGGCATTTCTGTACAAAAAAAAACGTAACAACTTCAAAAACGATTTGTCACACTCATCTCACAACGGCTTCGACAGAGCAGCGGCGATAACATTTTCTTTTTAAAATTATTTTCCGGAAGCAGGAAATGCTTTGACTGGTCCATAAAAAGTTTGCTCGATCCCATCCGTAACTCCAACGACAAGCCAAAGCAGAATAAAAGCATGAACAAGTGATGTAATATTATACGGCCCCTGTTCAGCGCTTGCCTGCTCTACAATACTACAGCACAAGACGCGAAAGCGTTGCATAAGCAACCTGCATTGCAAAGAGCCTACAACAAAAATCATCACAGGAGAAGTGTTGGCAAAATTGAGGTATGTCGTGACATCGCTTCGTAACATTTACATTCTTTTTGTAAGAACACACTTGAGTGATTTATGTTAGGACGGAAAACTCCGCCTTACTTGTTGGTTTCCCCAACATGCAGCCAAGAGTGACCACTGTCGAAAGTTGGGGGATCAGCGCCTTCCCCCCCCCTCCCCGCACATTTCTCAGTGAGGGGGGGGGGGGCGGGCTCGTGCCCTCCTTGCCCCCCCCCCCCGGCTGATACGCCTATGATCACCACAATTCGATATCTGCGTGTCCAAATTTGTCTTGCCAAAATCAAAATAAGCATGAGTTGCTTTCGCCGAGCCCAGATAAGTAGGGCCGTGTGCCCAGTCATATTAGGAAAAAAAGTGAACAAAACGGCTGCACACTATAGGAGCACTTGGCTGTGTCCTCCTAATAAGTGAAAGCTCTATTTTTTTAGTTGTAGTGTGAACTAAAACGTCTACAGTACATTCCTTTAACTTCAGACACCCTGAAGGTCATATTGGAAGACATTTCTGTCTGACACTTTTGTTGCAAACAATCACAAAGACTTCAAAAGCTCAGGAGTACAATAACATTTTCATACAAAGCTTAAATTTTTGAAGTTCATAATCTTTCTGTATTCGTTTTTAAGGGCAGGAAGCCAGACAATACAGTTTTGCAAAATCTTTTCTTCATTAGTGAATTCTTGGGACTGACGAGGAAACCAGACAACACAGTTTTGCAAAATCTTTTCTTCATTAGTGAATTCTTGTGACTGACGAGGTTATAGCCTTTTGCAATGCGCCTGTTTCCACATCCCGCTGCAACCCAGTGTTGTCACTGTGACCTTGCCGTTGTGTTCTCGGTGGTCCACACAAAAATAGACACGAGCATGCACTCACGTCTTTCTCAGCAAGCTGCCTCCGATCAAAAAACCGTTTTCGGGTGATTCGCTGCTACACTAGATATAGTCAGCGTACTCGCAGCTACTTCATACAGTCTTGCTTTAATCAGCTACCCCAATGTCTTTTGTGCAAAAACAAAATTCACACTGAAGCAACTTCTTTGTCGTAATAATCATTAACTCCTTTGTGATACCTGTTCTTTTATTCCGGTGAATGCCTCTGCGGTATCGGAACCTTAAGGTAACCAAGTACATAGCTCTTGGTGTACTACAGGAAATAAAACTCGTTTTCTTCCTCTTTTTCTAATCATCAGAATGATATCATGCTTTGTGATGTATTCTTTTGTTTTTTTGTTTCCTCCCCATTTTGATACCTCAGCGAAAATTCTGATGGTGTTCTATTATTCGTTTTCTTCCTCTTTTTCTAATCATCAGAATGATATCATGCTTTGTGATGTATTCTTTTGTTTTTTTGTTTCCTCCCCATTTTGATACCTCAGCAAAAATTCTGATGGTGTTCTATTATTTTATTTTTGCTATTGAAAGAGCAATTTGGCTTACAAGGCCCTACCCCCAAGGCTGCATATAATACCAATATGTTGCAACTCTTGAATGAGATTTGAAATTATAAATGTTACATCACAAAAAAAAAGATGGTTCAATCGGTCACTTAAACACATGGTATTCACATTTTAACCGAAGTGTAATCCCACATTCTGGCCAGTTGCCAGTCCCTTTAAACCATGCAAGAGAAATGCATTTGCCCACCTGTGAACTTGGCAGAATAAGTGCGCAAGTCATTACTCGGCCTTCTATCAAACAGAAGCTGCCAGCCTGCACTGCAACGACAACTTTCCTTCATTTGCCTAGATTGGTTGTGCAAGTTGGCTTCTTTAACCAGGAAGGAGCTGGTTTTGCTCATGAGCATGCAACTGATGATTTCTGGTCCCCGACATGCATTTTCTTGTGGGTCACCTGTGTTCCCTGCTTCCATCTCACTAACAAGAAAAAAAGGTATAACGTATCACGTTTTTGATCTCTCCTCTATTTTTAAACCCAACGAGCCACCAAATTAGGATCAACTCGAGTCAGAAAGTGAGGGTGAAAAAACGAGGGTGGAGGAGAGCACTAGAGAGCAATGCGATAGGGATAAAAACGCGAACGTCGTCGCCCTCCCCCACCAACTTCCAATTCTCAAAATCGATTACACTTCGCGCCTAGTACTCGTCCCATGCATCCCGGAACAATTGGTCATCGCCAATTCCCCCCTTCCTCCTCGTTGACCACGTACTGCTGCGCGTAGGCAGCCCATACCATCATAAACCACCCCACCGCATCCTGTCGTCGTTGGAGGGAGGGGAGAACGCCCACCTACAGGAAACTACCAGTACACTCGCTTCTCAAAGAGCGTTCTCCAAAAACGACCCTAGTGACAAAGGGGGTAAGTTTTACGGGGTGAATGGGGGGAGGGGAGCTACAATGCGATTCCGTGCAGCGTCTCTGGCCTGCTTATCTCTCGAACAGGCGCGTCCTTTTCTCAACAGTACGACGGGCCCCCGCAGGGATGCGGCCCCGGGAAAGGAGTCACGAAGTGAGAGTGTGGGAAAGAGTACTAATTAAATCTCCACACGCACGCACCAGTGTGTGTGTGTGTGTGCGTGCCCGCGAAGACGCGTCGACGACTGCCGAAGGAAGCCCGCGCCGCTGGCTGTGTACCGGGGTAAAAGCCTCGGGCTCGCTCGGGTGCCGGCAAGCCGCCGTTTCCAAGGAAACTGGGTTTCCCTGGGCTGACAGCGCGGCTCGACGAAACGCGGGCAAGCAAGCATTCTCTCTTCTCCCCCCCGCACTCGCTCCACTGCCACCCACCGCCGGCCCAAACAGCTCACGCGACCTCTTTCTCCTCCAGTTTCCAATCGATCTGAGCCGTAGAGTCCGTAGTACGAGAACATATTCCCCCCCCCCCCCCCCTTCTTTCACCCACGTACCACCATTCCCTTCCGGTCACAGTCCTCGCGAACAGACGAACGCACATCGCAGCGGGAAGCACCTCCTTTTCTCGGCATCGCGCACTGCAGACACTAAGCAGTGCAAGCGGCTTCGTTACGGCCCGAAAAAGAAAATAAAAAGGGGTGCCGCCCGAAGCAACGAATGCAGCAACGCCACAGCCCAGCCCATCGCAGACTAGGTTGCTAAGCCTAAACCGAGCAGACGGCGGAGACCCCGTTTCTTTTTCGCGATAACGCAGGGTAAACATGAAAAGTAGCGCTTACTACGCGTTGCGCAGCTAGCAGACGACGAAATGAGCAGCGGACTTGCAGACACCCTGATGAGAAGTCTTGCGCGTATCGAAATCAGATTGCGATACGTAGAAGCAAGCGGATCTTTTCGCCAACACGGCAAACTGAAACCTCGCAGGTAACGCAAGTAAGCGGGGGCCTGCTCACACACACACACATCAGAGGCGGAGGCGGCCGCTCGACATCCCGTGTTTGTTTACATGGCGGATCGGGAGCGAGCAGACGACAACCAGCTGCTGCTCGCCTTGATTTCGGCGAACGAATGATCGTAAGTAAAAACGGAACAAATAAAAGGCAACGTCTTAGCAGCACACTTACCGTACCACGCCAACATGGCCGAGAAATCCAAAGTCGTGCCGTTCGTTGCACACACACGCACACACTACAACTCGGCTCGACTCTCTGAAAGCTGCGCTGCTGCCGCCGCAGTTTCGTGGAGCACCCCGAATGCCGGCGTCGCCGCTTCTGTGTCCGCCGCCGCCGCAGGAGCGAAACCCATGGCAAGAGCGAGAGAAGCCACGCGTCCGAGCGAGCTAGCCGACAGGACACGCAAATGCCTTGCGACCGGAAAGCCAAGCGGACGGACGAACGGCGGGGGGGAAGGAGCGGGAGGCGCCGGACCGAGACACCCGTCGTTTTTACTTTCCCGCGCTTTTTCCTTCCCCCATCCATCGCAACGCTTCTTTCCCCCCCCCCTCTTCGTCTCTTTCATCCCTCCATACTTCACTCGGGCTTCGCTCCGAGCTCGGCCCCGACCGATAGATAGATAAATAGCCGGCGCGGGACAGAGAGCTCCACGCACGCCTCCTCCTCCCAGAAAAAACGCGCTGCAGGGAGGCTTGCGTTCTCGAGCGGCTGCTTGCCCTGTGTGTACGTTGGGCGCGCACGCCTACCCTACACATCGCTAGGCCTCTCGCTCCTGCTGGCTTCCCTTTCGGCAAAGCGACAGAGATAGACAGACGACGCAGCCTGCTAGCTGCCTCCTCCGAACAGAGGGCGCGCAGCTTACGACAACGGCGACGAATGCTTTTGCGAAGAGGGAAAGGCCGCGCCATTGCGTGCCTTCGTTTTCTCTTCTCGGACGTATGTATACACAAATAACAAGCGCGCATTCAGGGATGATTGACAGGCAGGCGCGCGCGCCCCTCGCTTTTTCGATCGTCGTCGCCGCAGGCGCGCCTTTTCTTTGAATATTACGACGATGCTATGAATTTTTCGTTTTCGACGCTGGCGCCATCTGCGAGAGCAGCCAACACTACATTAGACAGGTGTCGGCTACGATGCACTTTAGAAATTGTCAAGAAAACGCAGCCCCCCCGAATGTGAAAACCAATGCGCCATGGCGTACAGCGGCGTAGGACATTCAACCAAACGACATCGAAGAAGCCTCGAACGTCGTTTAAACCAGTGCATTAGTCACGTGTACGAAGGCGAGCTTACATGTTTCCAAACGATTCTGACTGAAAAAAAAATGGAAGCGCGTTACTATTAGAGCGGCGTGACGTAACAAAGCAAATGCTAATGCGAAGACAGGACACGAACCTTTAGGCTTGGCAACGCGCAGTACATACTCGCCACACGAAAACCGGCCGTTGAGAAACAAGGCCACCTAATATCAGATGAACACACACCGCCGTCGCTGGGCAGAAAGCCAGCGGCCAAGGTTGTCCGCGCACGCATATAAACTGACCAGCGTCTTATATATGGGCGCGTGCGGGTGCCACGTACGGTCGTTAAGTTTCTTCGCTCGAGCAAGCTCGGTAGACGGCCAAACAAAACCGAACGCTACACCTTCTCAACACCCACTACACAAGGATTATTGCGTACCGCTACGTGAGTGCGCCCTCAAAACCAGTGTATACCGGAGCGGAACCGAAAACAGTATTCTCGGCCAGCGCAAAATAACGCAACCCAAAACGTCATACAATATTTCGTTCCGGAGTGTGTCCGAAATACATGATTTGTCGGTTCACGAGAAAGCTTGGAAATCCGGAACCGAGGCCGTGCAACGTGAGCGATAATGCATACTTCAGGGGACCCTTCTAGCGGGTACCCCGGGAAGGAATTCCAAAGTGTTAAAATACTGCGAAAAACGAAAACAGTGGCAAGAAGGAATGTTCATATTACCGCAAGTGGTCTTTGGTTGTGCGCCAGCCTGCAGCAAACGCTGCAGACTGGCGCGCAACCTTAGCGCAACTGCAACTACACATTTAAATTTCGACCTCCGTCCGGGTGGTTTAGTGGCCCTTTAAAAACGAGTATGTCTGTAATTGTAAAATTAACGACATCAGTGCCTCGAGAGTATGATTTGTCAATGTAACCCGACTCATTGTTTCATATTAATGTTACTTTATTATACGAGACCCCCCCCCCCCCCCCGCCCACACACACACACAAAGGCACTGCCGAGGCTGTGACGTCAATGGAGAGGAGGTGCTCCCTCTTTCTGTTGATAATGCTTATGTATAGCCCGCTAGGGAAAAGGCGGAAAACAAAGGGGGAAAGGAATCCCTTAGACAAGCAAAAATCAGAGGAGAGATGAAGATAACGGAATACAACAAATAGGGAACAGAATCGAGGTGGGGAAAGGTGGCTGGGGAAAGAGGGATTGGGCGGTGCCTGAGCGAGACGCACGCGAGCGGAGCCCGCTGCTTTGCAACACGCACCATATATCCATCCATCCATTTCTCGTATGACAACGCACTCGTAGAAGGCACTGCATCCGGAGAAAGGAAGAAGAGCGCATAGTGAGGGAAAGGAGAGGGGACGTGTCGGTGTGTTCTTTGAGAGAGCCGACGGACCGAGGAGCGCGTTCTCCGATGACGCGAATCGATGAGTTTCTTTTTTTGTTGCACTCGCGAGCAGAGCACGCGAGCTCCTTTGTTAGCACCGGCCTGCGGGAACAAAGAACAAAGAGGAAGTATGCGACACGAGTACGACATGGAGGAATAAAGAAGGAACGAAGCAGAGATGGAGAGAAGGCGACATTCGACTAACGCCACCATGCGGGCAGTAGCGGCAGAAGTAAAACGTCTTTTGCTCCTCTTAAGTCACTATCCTAATAATTACCGTGTGGCCCACATCGGAGAGGGCGGCGGAGGGGGATCGGACCGTCGCTTATATTACAAAGGTAAAAGGAAACGTGATGGTTGTCATAAATTAATACGAAACAAACACAGCAAAAGGACACAGACGGACTTTAGCACTTTGCACGTGACGTCATGGTAGCATCATTACAACGTACCATAACATGGCGACCTTGATGACGTAAAGGCAGCACGAAAACCGCACGGTCACATCGCGCGCTCGACTTGCTTCAATATGATAACGATGCGGTCAGAATTTTATTGGCCTCTGTCCGTCGATGGCGGGAGAACTTCCAACTGATACAACTATCTCATCGTTACGTGACGTCAGAAACCTTGTGTGTGTCATCGACGTCAGAGCAAGTTAACGGAAAGAATGGCGAACACAGGCGCCGTGTCCTCCCTTACCTGTATTTCGGCTTTCCCGCGTACTCGTGTTCACATTGAATGTAAAACCAACTCGCCCACCACATGGCCCTCCTCACAACCAAGCCTTTCTATTACAAGCAAGGCGCCACTACACGACAGTGGCATGGCCAGGGCTGGCCCTCCTTCCCTCCCTGATTGTTTTTTAGATGCGGAGCATCTTATACTCGCGCCTTGTAGTGCGCCGTCCGCACCGCTTCTCGAACATTCGACAGCTGACGCGCGCGCATGCGCCGTCGCGCCGTCGCCCACTCTTCCACCATCTGTGCATTCCTTCCTCCTCTACACACCGCGCGCGCTTCACTCCTCCACCATCTGTGCACCCTTCCTCCTCTACACACCGCGTTCGACATCTACAATTCTCCTGATTCTCCAGTAGACGCGCATGTGGCGTCGCGCTTCGAGAACATTCAACAGCTGACAGTGCATGCGCCGTCGTGCTGTATATATACTCAAGGTCGGCGCTCGCTCGCTCAGTTGCCGCTCGTCGGTTGGTTTGTACGGCGCGTCGACGTCCAAGGTCGCAGTGAAATGAATTCCAACGAATCCACAAACACAATGATCGACGTCCCTTCGACCAGCGCCGCCCTTTCGCATACGTGTGTACGTGTTCACTCATTTAACACCCCCTCCGACAACCACGTTAACCAATTTAGCCATCGACCCAAGTAAGTCGCAATTTAACACCCCATTTCACAACCACGTTAACCAATTTAGACATCGACCCAAGTAAGTCGCACTTTAACACCCCGTTAACCAATTATATGGTCCGCATCCTCCTCAGTGTTCCCCCGAGGGAAGCTGCGGGCAATTTTTTTTCGCATGGCATAAGATCGAAAAATGGCGATTTCAGAAAGTTACCACCTCCCATATCCCCCGAAAAAAAAAAAACATTTCAACCTACGCCCCTGCTACACGAGGTAATCCAGCTACCTCTAGCCGGAGTTTCAAAATATGCCGAGGCACTCCATGTGACCCCTCGACCAGATGCAGCTTGCCCACTCTTCCATGGAGCAGGTCACACTATTTTTCAACGAGTATAAATTAATTAAAAAACTTCTCCCTTTCCATCCATAAAGTGTTAGCGTTTTTCTGAAATTTAATACATGCCGTCCGCCTCGGTGGAACAGTGGCTAGGGGGTGCTCGGCTGCCGACTCGAGGGTCGCGGCGGTCACATTTCGATAAAGGCGATATGGCGGAGGCCAGTGTAATGTCCGTGACCGTTAAAGAACATCAGATGGTGTTTACGGCGTCTCTCATAATCATAGCTTGGTTTTGGGACGTAAAACCCCACATTATTATTATTATGGCATAATACATGCCCGCGAAATACAACGTACTGCGTCACTTGTGCACTGTGACTGCAAGGCTCGCTAACGTTCCGCGTACAAACGATATCCAATCCCCCGTGGCCATTCGTAACCGCAACAGGAATACGCAGCGGTTATCGCTGGCGCTTCCGCGAGCAACAGGTGCGTCATCGTATATGCACAGTGCCAATTTTTTATGAAAAAGAGCGTGGCCTGCGCACTCCGGCGGCTGCTGGCAGCGCGCTCAAGCGGGAGCAACCACAGTCTCTTTTCGCGTCATCTCGCGGCGACCTAAACAACCATTCGTTGCTGATATAGAACGGCGAGATTGCAACCCCTCCCGTTTCAAGGCGATTACCGGCTCCCGCGTAATCACCTTGAAGGGGAAGGGGGTCGCAATCTTGCCGCTTGTTCCATATGAGCAACGAATGGTTCTTTTGCTCGCCGCAAGATGACGCGAAAAGAGACTGTGGTTGCTCCCGCTTGAGCGCGCTGCCAGCAGCCGCCGGAGCACGCAGGCCACGCGCTCCCGTGTTCCCTTTCATAAAAATTTGGCACTGTACATCCACTACCGCCATGGTCGCTGCGTCGTACGCTTCTTTACACTTAAATTACGTGTACTTCTAACATACTTTCCTTGGCATCAACGCCTGTTAGCTCTTGTTAATACAGTGTCTAACAAAGGAAACGAACCATTAAATTTA